AAACAAACATGCAATGTTTTGTTCCAATTTAGGCGATTTTTTGGTGGGTTTTAGGACCCCCATAAGCCATTTCCAGAGTTGTTTTGGTCATATTGAGTGTCCCTCTTGCATGTGTATAACAACCCCTTGCATGGCCTTCCAAAGGAGCACCTCATTCTAACATGTGTTGGCTCTATTTCAGTAGGTATTTGGTGTTTATTTAGCATGTTTTACCTCTGTCCCATGTTGGTTTGTTGACCCTTGGCATGCATCATACACTTGCTTTGTATTCCTTTATTTTGCCTAGAAATGCATCTTGCCTTTGGACCACCATGCTTGCATATTTTGGCTTAGCTTTGTGAAGTTTTTGGTCATGTTTTAACATGCTTAAGGTCTGTCTTGGGTCTTTGGATTCATGTTTTCCATGCTTTGTATAGCTTCTTTGCATTCTAGCTTACTAGCCTTGGGTGTGTAGGTCACTAGTATGCTTTACTTGGCTTGTTCTCATGATTTGGCATCATTGGAGACCACATTTCAGTCCATGTTCCATGCTTGCATACTTGCATTTTCCATCCCTTTCATGCTTTGAAGAGTTGATGGCTTATGCTCCATGTTTAAGGCCTTGTGCATGCATGCTTGTGTGTGTTTTCATGCCTTTGTTGCATCATTTTGGCCACTGTTATGGACCTAGTAGAGAGCTGTCCAAGTTAGTGTAAGACCATCCTTTGCATGTTGATGCATGCTCACCTTGTGTGTTGTGGCATACTTGTGTGTTGTTGCATGTTTAGGTTGCTTAATATGATGCATGCCTTGCACACTTGCATGCTTAGATCACATTTTGTATGCTTGTCACTCCCATTATCATTCCATATCTTGCATGCCCATGCTGCATACTTAGTTAACATGCCTAGGTCACATTGCATAGAGCATGCATGCTTTGCCTCTTGAATTGAGTATGATAGAGGTTGGGCTTTATGTGTTTAATTGGTTTGCATTTCATTTGATATCGAAGTTGCACACTTGGCTTTTGGGCCATCATGCATTGAAATGCGTGATTGATGGCCCGAGGGTCGAGGGCCATGCTCCCTTGAGTCCCTTGCATGATAGGGAGTGGTTGGTGCATACATTTGCTTGAAATACATTGCCATGCCTTGTCTACCCTCTGCTGCTGTCAAACAGGTTTCAACAGAAAGAATTGGCCGGCCGGCAGTGTTAGGTGCTGACCGGCAAAACAGGTTTGGCCGAGAGCATAATGTTTAGCCGATGACCATTCTAAATGGCCGGTGATGATCTCACTCAGCCGGTAGTGTCCTACAACACTCAGAGAAGCAACCTTGGAAGTTGTGCAATTTTCAGAGAAGCAGAACAGTCAAAGCAGAGGCAAACTTGTGCATGGCAGTAACTTTCCGAGCGGAGCCGAGCGCGCATTGCATTGGGCCCTCTTCCCGAGGCCGTTTACTACTTTCATTAGATTAGTTAATTTGTTAATTAATTTGTATTATTCTTTTGGTCCCTCCGAGCGAGGGTGAGTTTGTAATAGTGTGGGTGCGTGTGTGCATGTCTTTCAATCCCCACTTCTTTCTCCCTTTTACTTACCTGCTTTTGATGGTTAGTATTAGGACATGTTTACTTTAGCATACCTTATGCTATGCATGCCTGCATCATTCATCAGTATTGCATGCACCAGGCTCGGCGCATCATACTAACCGCATAAGTATTTCAAATCTAACTTGAATACATGCTACTTGTACATTTTCATATGTCATTTATAGGCTAGCCGAGCCTACTCTAGTGACATTCCGCATGTGTTACGTTAGCCATCTTAACATGAACTAGGATCATGCATATGATTACTAACTGGTTTCTGTTTTGGCTTGGAGTACTCTGTAAGTCCTTTTGCTTTAGCATACCGCATGCGTGTGAGTGTTGCCATAATTGCATGATTACCATGAGGCTAGCTGCTTATGTGATATAACTGCTTGAATGCCTGTGGATGGAGGTTGAATTACCTAAATTTGGATAACGCATTAAAACTGTGAGTTTTAAGCCCACTAGATAGTGGCAAAACCATATTTTCTAAAGCCCACTTGAGGGTGACAAAACCTGCATTTTAGCCTACTTGCGAGTAGCAAAATATTTTCAAAACAAACATGTAATGTTTTGTTCCAATTTAGGCGATTTGGTCTATACTTGTTTGCTGTGCGCATGACATAGTAATTCCAGGCTAATAATTGGAATAAGAACACATAATGTTTTCAAAAACGGATATCACGGTTAGCAGAGGCCGATCTTCGGATCGGGCGAGAGGGGGTGCTCATAGCTGACTTTCCCCAATCATACCCTAACTCCCGAGCCGAGACAACTCCGGTGATGACGGACATGTGGCCTTCGGCGCCGAGTCAGGGTTTCCTAAATTCCCCCATAAAAAAATATTTAGGTGGCGACTCTGTATCTGGCAAAAGCAGTCCATGTTTGGCACTTCTTTTTCAAAAAATCTGTTTCTCAAAACGATTTGCCGGATTTGGACTCTTTGGTTCAGATTAAGAACCGTGACACAAAATCGAATCCGAACTGTAGTGCGGGGTCCCTCGCGTACGTGCTACATATCCACAAAGCTTTTAGTCATTTATATTGGGAAAAAACCATCTTTTCATGCCCATTTACACATTACGCATGTATAATGTACAGAATTGTTAAATTAGATAGAAATATTAATTGTGCACTTTAATCCAATAATCATAAAAAATTATATGGTGATTTTTAGATGTCAATGAGGTAAATTACCCATGTCTCAAAGCCCATGATGTAAACTGAAGGTAGCGTTTGGTAGAGATTTAGAATTATGATTTGAGAATAAAGTTGTAATTTGAGTTTATGAGTTTTTGAATTATGATTTGAGTGTGGAAAATTTGTTTAGTTATAGGGTGGTTTGGCATAACCTATTTTAGTTCATATTTTTATTTTTTTATATTTTTTGAATCACATCAATTAATATCTCCTCTCTATTTTTTTATACATATTTTTATAAAAAGTCAAAAAGTGCACTTATTTAGGACATCCTAAACCAAGCCATGAGATGGGTGTATATAGACATTTAGTGGGTGTGTTTGGAAGCCTTCCCTAATATTCCCGATGCAATCGCCCTAATCTCCTCACTTCGCCGTCAAGCGAAGGTTCTCTTCCTCTCAACAGTCTCTCTTCAAACAAAGGTTTTTCTCAATCTCCTAACAATTCAATTGGAATGCTATCTTCATGGAATCTTTGATTGATTGATTGCTATCTTCATGGAATCTTTGATTCATTGATTTCTTTCTTTCTCGATTTCTATCAGAGTTCAAGGCTATAGGCTATACATATATATATACACTTCTAGGGTTTCTTCAAATTAGGGTTTTCATGGCTGATCGTAACTTGGCTGTGGTGAAACCCATATGGATGAAGCAAGCCGAGGAGGCCAAGCTCAAGAGCGAGGCAGAGAAAGCTGCGGCTGCGAAAGCCGCATTCGAAGCCACATTCAAGGACGTTGAGAAGACCCGAAGAGAGGATTTTTCGGATAGTGAAGGAGAAGAGGAAGCCGAGGACTTGGCTAACAAACCAATAGGGCCGGTAGACCCCGCCAAGTGCACCGCCGCGGGGACCGGGATAGCAGGCGGCACCGCGTGCTCGCCATCGTCTTTCGTGGTGGTTACGAAGGATTCCGATGGCCGGAAAGTCCCGCATGGTGGCGCGCAAATTAATGTGACGGTTTTGGCCGGAGCGGGGGTTGGGGTATCGGATCAGGATGGGATTGTGAAAGATATGGGAGATGGGTCTTATACAGTGACATATGTGGTTCCTAAAAGAGGGAATTATATGGTGAATGTGGAGTGTAATGGGAAGCCCATTATGGGTAGCCCTTTTCCAGTGTTCTTCAGTCAAGGTACTTTCTCGAAATTCAAATTCTTTGTCTATACACATGAATTCATTGTAAACAATATGTATGATTTAGTTGTTTTTGGGTAATTTTTGCTAAGTTAATTATATGGTTCTTTGGGTGATTGTTTAGTGTAGATTGAAATTATGAATGAGTAATAGGTGATTGTTGTAGTTTAACTAATTATCTGTGTTTGGCAGCTATAGATGTAGTATATAGAAGTGCTATTTTAACAATTTTATTATATATATTTTTAGCTGGTAGGTAACTATTTTACTTCTGACAAATGATTATCCTGCATATTTGGTGATAATAAGCTTTGAGGGACTTTACTAAACTAATTTGTTTTGTTTTTTTGTGTTTCCCCTTTTTTTTTTTGACAAATGTAACTATTTTGAAGTAAGTTAATACATGACGGGGGTGCCTAAGGGGATGGCCCATCCTAGCTGAAGGTATGCCAAAACAAAAAACAATGCAAAACAACTATATTATTTTCTCAACTACTTGAAGTGGAAAAGGTCCCTGAACTCCAAACATTATCAATACAAGTGACCGCACCTTTCATGCCACCTTACAATGAATAGGAATGTCATCTCCTAATTCCTGTCTATTTACACATGCAACTACAATTGGTTCCTTGTTTTAAGCAAGCTGTCAATTTCAATGCATTGACTCTCATTCAAAAAATGGCACTTTTGAAGGAATTTTAACATACCAAATCCTATTAGTGAAGGTTTATAATGAAAGATTATGGTGTGTACCAGATGCACCTTATAATTAAAGAAGAAAATGGTATAATTTTATACTTTTTGAGTTATAACTAAAAGGAAAACAGTTTTAACCAAACATTACATGAGACATAACCAAACATATCAAAATAATATTATAACTAAAGAAGAAAATTGGTCATAACTAAAAAAAAAATGGCGTTACTAAGGGTGCATATGGTATGTGGTGTGTATTGTAGAATTCTCCAATCTTATTAAAGGGAATATATATACATCCGAAGGCTGCAATAACTCCTTCTAGAAACACTTGACCTTAGACATCCGAGCATTGGAATGGGAGCATAAAATTCTATGGTATGAGGCGTCAAGGTCTCTTATGACCTAAGCACGAGGTGATGGCTTAATTGAAGTGAGCAAACACCAAGAATATTTTAGTTAAAAAAAAGCATTGATAAAAACTCAATAATTTCAAAAAATCACAAGGCATCCAACATTCTATGTATTAAATATCATGAAAAACCTAAAACATTTAGTAAAATTCAACAGTCCAAATACCAATACATAAGATATCCATGATCCAACAAACCTAATAATCAAAATTAAAAAAATTCAGCAGCATTAATCAAAGAAGAATAAAATTTTAACAGAATAAACAATAAAAAATTAATCAAAGATACAAAATTTTTACAACAGAATTTTAACAGTATCCAACAACAATCATGCAACATTTATACTCGAAAAGGTCGTGCTTATCCAAAGTAAAGAACAAAATTTCCAAATTTACCCCAAAATTTAAAAAATAAAAAACAAATAAAAGAAAACGATGCATGCATGCATGCATTTCCAATTTGAGATAGAGTCGCCAACGGTTAAGTAAAAAACAAAGAAGAGAGATAAAATTGTTTATAAGAATCAACCTTTAATTTGGATGCTCTACAGAGTTTAGAATTTTAATGAGGTATGACCTAATGTGCCAAATGCAACGTACAATTCAAAAATTAATGGAAGAGATCAAATCATAATCCTAAAAAAAGCAATCACCTCAGTAAATCTTTAGCCTGAGGTGAGCACTTCAAGTGCCCCACCTCGCCCTGCCTTAGTCCTCTTGAGGTGTTGAGGCTTTGCCTCACAACCTCTTGCCTAAGGGAGCGCTTAGGCGCACTTTTCAAAACATTGACTTACCACTAAACAAACTTGTTTCATGAACTCATGGCACCACTTTTTTATACCTTTACATAAGCACATTCCGTTGGACATAAAAACCTTGTCAATGATACAATCTCTTCGTTCTTTTGCACTATGAGGTGACCATTCTTCTCCAAAGTTTGTCAATCTAATTGGTTGCATGATTGAGTTGATCAAGCTGGTAAGTACCTAAACCTCCACTATGTTTAGGAAAGCATGTTGTCTTCTTTTTGATTCACTAGATGGTAATTGAACTTCTCTAATCTGCTTAATAGGAAGTCCCATTGAAAGAGTGACAGACTAAGAAGCATGAACACTTCTAAGAAGGTGACGTCTCCATGTCGGACATCGACACTATTTGGACACTTCCCCGACATGTGTCCAACACTCTTCAAAATGTGTCATATTTTTTAATATCTTTTAAAGATCCGGATACTCTTTGGACATTTTGAGGACACACGTGTGTGTTTTTTAAACACATGTCTATCGATTAGACACGCGTGAAACTAATTATAATTTTGAAAAAAACAACTTAAGATACAATAATAAAACAAAAATTATATAAATTTATAGAGATTAGTGTCATATTGTATTTTTTTATTATTTTTGAATGATATATTCCTATATATAACATATAATAAATATATAAAATTATATATTTCATGCGTGTCCCCCACGTGTCGTGTCTTGCAGTTTTTGAAAATTAGTGTGTCGGCGTGTCGTGTCTGTGTCGTGTTGCGTGTCCGTGTCCATGTTTCTTATGTGATAGAGAATATATAAGAAGACAAAACTATGTGCTTTTAAGTAGACAAGAGCACGTGCTCTTAATTAAAGTAGGTCGGCTCCCTTATTTACCGATGTAGCACAACATAAATTCAAATAAATTAATCATAAAATCTTGATTTTAAATAATTTATACACATTTATAAGAATCCTTCTTTCACAAATTCTAGCTACGTAAGTTGAATCTCATGGCAGATGTTTGGTTCAATTGAAGCTTCATTTGGTATGGAGTATTTTATGTGCACTATAGACAAATCTTAACTACCTTGACTTAGGTTAGGCTGTAGATTGTGGCTCTACACAAAGTGGGCCCATTTATGAGAAAGAAGAATCTTGTCATATGCTCTGGCACAAATTAGAAGATCAATGATTCTAGAGATTGGAACTAGAACAATAGATGAAGCAATCATAGACTGTGATCTAATTATGACTGGGAGTGTCTCAAGTCCAGAGGTGGTTGTTTTGGAAATATGAAATTTTAAATAATTGAAGTTGGAATGAAATAAATTGCAAATGAACCCACTAGAACTCTTTAATGAAAGAGATGTTGCAACAAAACTACCATAATTCTTCTTTCACATTCCAAGATTTTAATGAGGAGAGGAAAAATTGGACTCCATGAAAAGCTACTTTAGCTTGAGTTTGTTGTATGGTCCCATTATTTTTTCTGTTCTGATGCTTTTTGAGAAATAGAACGGAGGTTATGTGAAGTTTAGGACCTACTTCAATTTGGTACCATTCCATTGTTCTGGGTTTCATTTTGGGCTTTTTATTTTTGTTTGTTTTTTTAGAAACAAAGTAATGATAAGTTAGAAAGCACATTTGTTTTTATTTCGTTTTCATTTTTTTTGAAACTTGGAAAACAACTTTAACTATTTCTTAAAAATGGGACTTGTTCAAGAAATTTTGTTGAAAACAATTTTTGGAACAGTTATACCAAATTGGTTTTTGTGTTATTTTCTTTTGTTTTTGTTTGAGAATAGAAAGCCATTTAAAAAATGATGTCAAACGGGCCTTATTAGTATCCTGCTTGCATGTGTTTCTTTTGTTAAGTAGCATCCTGCATGTATATCTAAGGAGCACAGACACTTTTAAAAATGTGGCGTATGTGGCGTGTCGGTTCAACAAGTGGCGTGTCGGTCCAACACTCATCGGACACCTTCCGGACATGTGTTCGGCACTCATAAAAAACGTGTCCTATTTTTTTAAATAAAATTTAGACTCGAACACTCTTTGGACACTTGAAAGACACACGTGTCCATTGCTTAAACACATGTATCCATTAATTAGACACACATGAAACTAATTATAAGTTTGAACAAAATAATTTAGAATACAATGATAAAAGAAAATAATATCAATTTATGGAAATTAGTGTTATATTACATTTATTTATTATCTTAGAATGATATATTAATGTATATGACATATAATAAATATATACAATTATATATTTTGTGAGTGTCCCCCGCGTGTCGTGTCCTATATTTTTTTAAAACATTGTCGTGTGGGTGTGTCCATGTCGTATTCTTGTCATGTCACGTGTTCGCAACTGTGTCATGTGTCCATGCTTCTTAGATGTATATTGATATCTAGACAAAAAATTGTTTACAATTTTATAAGCTTTAGCCTGAATTGGAGTTGAAGTCAACCACATTGTGTATACAACATTTTCAGTGTAGCTTATACTGCACAAATCCATAAGCTTTTACAAAGAAATTTATATGATGTACATGATATTACAAATTGATTAGGCTACCAGTTTTGAAAGATTCCTGATCTCGTTAATCCAATCTCACTAGCTTGGTCCTTGATTTGTTTTGTAACAACAGTCTTAGCTCAGTTCCTTTTTCTAACCTCATGGATTTTTTACACTCCAACTATTCTAGAAACTCCTCAGCTACTTGTCCTACATCAGTCCCCTCTACTTGAGAAGAACTCAACCTCGAGTTTGAATATGGATAGATTTATTCAAACAAATCAGCTATATTAGAAGTCTTAGAAATCTTCATGTCCTCAGGAAGATCATTCACATTTGCATTATCACTGATCCTCTTTAGAACTTTGTACGAACCATATTTTCTTGATGCGAGCTTGTGTAGTGATTGGAAATGTTTCGTGCTGCAGGAAAACCATGACTAGATCCCCTTTCTTCAACAATTTGGTTGGCCTTTGTTTACTTTTGTTTATTTGTAGTGTCCTTAGACTTGGCATTTGTTGCTTCTATGTTTCACCTTGTCATGCACAGTTTTAGCTTGTTAAACATGTTTTGTGTTTCGATACTTCAATCAAAACTCTTAACAACCAAACTAAGTGTATTACTTGCTTCAGTGGCAGAATACTATTCAGTGTGTTTGGTTTCAGTTTTTTAAATTTAGTTTTTTGAGAATTGAGTTTTTTATTTTTCGTCTTTTTTTGATTTTAGTGAATATTTTTAAAATTTTAAGCATTTTTTTTTTTACTTTTTTATATGCACCTTACTTAGATATATCTAAATAATAAAATATTTGTGAAAAAATATTTTAAAAAAGTAATAAATATACAAAAATACGAAAAATGTACTGAATTTTCGTATTTTTGGTATTTAGTGAATTTTTTAAAGATTTTTTTCACAAATATTTTACTTTTTAAGTGTATTTATGTTAGGTGTGTTGAAAAATTTTAAAAAATTGCTTAAAATATTAAATAAATTCATTGAAAACATTAAAATACGGAAAATAAAAAAATAGAATTTTTTGACAACTGTTTTCTGAAAACCAAAACCAAACAAGCTGATTCTAATTTTTTAGGCTTTTCGTATTGTCCCTTAAGAAGGGCAAACTTTTACAAGGCCCTTTATAATTCTATTAATGTAGTCTAGTCAATTAATAAAGGTGGATGGGAAACCCTACATATCTAGGGGTAGGTGCAAATGGGTGGGTCTCTCTTTTTTATTTTTATTTTTTATGTGGTTGACCATTATTGATTTGGGACCTCAAGATAATGAATGGCGACTGAAGAGAATTTCTCCAAGGAAGAGGATGAAGAAAAATTGGGCTAAAATTCTAGAAAGCAGGACTAGAGCCAGATCTGCAATATCTAAAGAGCGAGTTGAGTCTTTAATGACTTCGTTCCAGCTTCAGAGGTTTTATTAACAATATCCCTTGGTTAAAGTTGACAATAGTGGGACAAAATCCTTTCATGTGCATCAGTGATTTAACCAAAGAAGATTTTATTCATGTGCTCTTTTTCCATTATGTGATTCTTTGAATAAAATAAGAACAAAAACTTGTAAGAAGGAAATGGATGGTATTATGCAGAAAACTGCAAAACAAATAAATTTGATTGGCAAAATGAAATCTCAATCCTACTAGTGACTAATCATCATGATTAGACTTCAATTTGTTACTTGTAACTTCAAAAAAGGGAATAAAACTTCAATCATAAAAAACTCTACCTTGTGTCTATTTGTAAACATTTAGGTGGTGTTTGGCAACATTTACAATTTACTATTTTTATTTTACAAAAAATAGTAAACATGTTCATGTTTATTTTGGGTCAAAAGAAAAAGGAGAAAAAAAAAATGTTTGGTAAAGAAGTATTTTAAAATGTTGTTTTGAAAACAAGTGAAAAGAGGTGTTTGTCGACAGTGGGAGGTGGTGGCCACTAGTGGGAGATGGTTACCAGTGGTCGGAGTTGGTTGCTGGCCATGTGAAGTGATGGCTGAAAGTGATTGCTGATGATTGGAGATGGTGGTCGGCTGGCTGCTTGAGGTGGTTTCAACAAGAGGTGGTGGCCAAAGGTGGTGATCGCTAGTGGAAGGTGGTGGATAGAGGTGGTTGGTGAAGGGGGCCATTAACGATGGTAGTCGGTGGTGATAAGCAATGGGTGGTGGTTGGAAAGGGTGGGACAAACAGGAAGAAATGGGGAAAAAAAAAAATAAAAAAATTTAAACAAGTGAAACCAATTTTTTGTGTTTACAAAATTTACAACTTTTTGAAAACAAAAATAGAAACCAAACGGGATTTTGTTTACAGTTTTGAAATTTTTTGTAAATGTAAGCATAAAATTATATATATAAAAGTTACCAAACAAGCCCTTACAATTTACTATATTTTGTTTAAACATGTTTATGTCTATTTTTTCTTAAATACACGACAAAAACTTGTTTGGTATGCACATGTTTCATAAACTTGTTTTGAAAACAATTTATAAGGGGTAGCTACAAGTGGTTGCTAGCGAGAGGTGATGGTCAGAGATGGTTGCTAAGGTTGTGGTTAGAAGTCGTTGCTGGTGGTAGGGAGGTGGTTGTTGGCGACCAAAGGTGGTTACTAGAGATGGGGGGACTCGTTGGCGGTGATTGAAGGCAGTAGTGGTTGGAGTTGGAGGGTGGTTGACAATGGTGATGGGTGGTGGCTGGAGGGGTGGGTTATTTTAGTCATTTTTTTATAATGCAGATGCATATTTGTACCAACTAAAGAATCACCCTAAATCTTATTGACAATTAATGTATCCTGTAATTATTTGTATTTATTCATGTTTTTGGACCAAGAACTCTGATTCAAAGTTATGCTAGCTGAACATGATTCCAATCGAATTTCTAAGGTCATTCAGTAAGGGTGTGATACTCTAAATGGTTACTGCTCTTGTTACAGAGTGGTATCAGTGCACAGTTTTACTTTCACATAGTCTATCCCTTAGAGCAAAAGATTCCCTTAGAATGAAACTCTAGAAATGCATTCATGATATGCAGTGTGTGTTCAATGCCAAGGTGTATTATATTTGTGTAAAAGTATATGAATAGTGTTAGTGTTGAGGTTTAGGAGTTTAGAAACATCATAGGAGTCTTGATCTCAAGAGAAAATTCCAAGTTATCGGTGAAAATTGTGTCATTGTGCGTGTATCATGCTATTGGGATAATTAAGATAAGTTGATAGGAGTAGATAGGAATAGTCCACTAGTTGTGTGAAGTTATGGAAATTGTGGGATATGTTGAGTCTCGTGTGTAGAACATATTGTTTTAGTGGGTGTGACCCACAAGTTCACTATCCTATTAACAATTAATTATTTGTATTATTCATGATTAGGAGTGATCAAATCCTCCTTCTGTATCTGTGTTAAGTGGCTTAGCATGACTTGTCCTAATAAGCCAAAACTAACTGTTTGTTTTCTCATAATTATGTGTGTATATATTGTTTATATTATATCTTTAATATGTTCTCTCACATGATGTTACTCTTCTTTGTAAGCAGGTTAAACATGTACAAATATTTTATTTATCGAATAGGCGATGAAATTCGAACACAAGATTTATTGTCCACTCTGATATTATGTTGCATTGTTGATCATCAAAATTTAAACTTTTAGAGGAAGGAACAATTTTATTATTTATATTATATATCCTTAATGTAACTCATTTTTGCCTTGTTTTAGGAATATGGGCCACAAAAATCATCACTTGGTTTGGGAAAATATTATTCTTTCAGAATTTTTTTACATAATCGTATAAAATTTAGATTCACTAAATTTGAGGTTTCTACTTCAACGATGAAATTAGAGAAATCTCAGTCATCTGTTGAATTATAAAAAGGCCCAAATCTCAGTCATTTGTTGAATTACTATCCACATTCTGGCCGGTGGGCTCACTATGGATGCCATTTTGATAATCCAATTTGTTCATTTTGTAGATCATTGGGTATATATCACTCATAAAAGAAAAGATCAGATTGATCTAATAATTGAAGAAGGCATATGATTTTATCCTATTTATCTATAAAAGAACATATGGTCTAGTTTTTAAATCATCAATTTTTTTAAAGAACAATATGATAAAACAATAAAACTGTGATTATCAAATCAATCTGATTTTTTTATTTCATGAGTGATATACGCACAAACTTAAAAAATGAACGAATCAGATTATTGAAATAAGATAGGTGATGAACCCATAGATCCAAACAACACCCTTCATAGTGGCTTGGAGACCAGACCAATCCATTTGACAGAAGCTGTGATTTTGAGCTTGAAAGTGTGTTTTGAGTTTTATCGTATCTCTTATTTTGAAAATATAAGTTTACTTATTCAAAAAGAAAAAAGAAAAACTTGAAAGCAACTGTGGTGATTGGTGTCCCAAGCACACCATTAAGAGCAACTCCAACTATACTCTTCATTTTTCACTAGCTAAAATATAAAAAAATGTATGTTCTTTAGTTTGCCTAATTTCTTTTTTATTGATGTACTCCAAATCTACTCTTTATTTTACTTATCTATCCGCACAAATTGTTTAAAGAGCTTCCCAAGGCTCTTCAAATGTAGCTAGCATTGAAGAATTTTGTTAAAATAGCTATTGTAATAGCTATCCCGCTGGACTGACTAAAATATGTTGATGCTAGCTATAATAGCCAACAAGCCTCTTTTAAAGAGTCCTTTGGAGATGCTCTTAAGCTACATATATTATTGCTATGGGTTACTTTGTTGCAGCTTATAAGTTGATGGGTAAATTACGCTATTGGTCCCTATAGTTTAGGTGAAATGTCATTTTAGTCATTGTTTCAATTTTGTTGCAATGTGTCAATATCATTATAAATAAAAAAGCATCTTCATAGGTGTTTTGATTCAAAGAGAAATGTCAACATTTAGCCACATCAATATAATTTTTTTTGTTCGTATATCTTTACTTTTTTAAATTTTGATAATGCATTACCATAATAGAAAGGAGAGAATCTTAATCCCTCTTAGACTTGGTCAAAATCTATGCAAATGTGTCCATTGCTTATTTTGAGTTTTGCAAGTACTTCCTGGTTTGCTTGTGAAACTGATATTGACTTTTTAAATAATGCATGACTGAAAAATATGCTTCGTTGTTTCTTTAAAATGAATTGTCTTGTTGGTGACCAAATTTGAAATATTCTTGATATGTTCGTTCTACATTATGTTCTTTAATCAGATGATAAGTAATTCTAGATGAATATTATTAATTTTGAATGTGAAATCTGTGGTTGTACAGGAACTACTACTGGCGGGCTGCTCGGTCTGGCCCCAGCGGCTACATTTCCGAATTTAGTTAACCAGACCATGCCCAATATGCCAAATTATTCAGGTTCTTTTTCTGGATCATTCCCAGGATTGCTTGGAATGATTCCGGGTATCATTACTGGGGCTTCAGGGGGAGTAGTATTGCCTGGAATTGGAGCATCTCTTGGTGAAGTTTGCCAAGAGTATCTTAATGGGCGCTGTGTGAAGACTGATTGTAAATTCAATCACCCACCTCACAATTTGCTGATGACTGCATTAGCTGCCACCACCACCATGGGAACTCTGAGTCAAGTGCCTATGGCGCCTTCTGCAGCTGCAATGGCTGCTGCTCAGGCAATTGTTGCTGCTCAAGCCCTTCAAGCTCATGCTGCTCAGGCGCAAGCGCAAGCCCAGTCTGCCAAACACTCTTCTGGTATCCCTTTATTTTTACTGTGGTGTTACTTTTAAATGTTGTTGTTAATGTTAAATGGCCTTATGGTTGATAGCTTGGTTTTGGTTGTTTCCTGGAAAATGTTGTTAGTGAACATCACATTTTGCACTGAGGAACTTAAATCAACACATGGTAGTTTTTCTTAGTTCATTTGATAACAAATGGACTTGTCGTCTGTAATTTTAGTAAATACTGCAGATGATTTTCACCTTCTCAGAATTGTAGTGTGCTCTCAGATATTTGATTCCTCAATTAAAAATGTTTTTGCTTCTGTTTTATATGTCTTCATTGATGCCTCATGTCTTTCTGAGGTACTTGACATTTTCGTTGTTCATCTTATCAGGATCAGCTGACAAAGATGGGAAGGCCGATTCCCTTAAAAAAACTCTACAAGTTAGCAACCTCAGCCCACTTCTCACAGTGGACCAGTTGAAACAACTTTTTAGTTTTTGTGGCACAGTTGTTGAGTGTAGTATCACTGATTCAAAGCATTTTGCTTACATTGAATATTCAAAACCAGAAGAAGCAACTGCTGCTTTGGCATTGAACAATATGGATGTTGGGGGTCGGCCATTGAATGTTGAAATGGCCAAATCACTTCCTCCAAAGCCACCTCTCTTGAATTCGCCACTTGCTTCATCTTCATTGCCCTTGGTGATGCAGCAAGCAGTGGCTGTGCAACAGATGCAATTTCAGCAGGCTCTGTTAATGCAACAAACAATGACTGCACAGCAAGCAGCTAACCGAGCTGCAACCATGAAGACTGCAACAGAACTTGCAGCAGCTAGAGCTGCAGAAATAAGTAAAAAGCTGAAAGCTGATGGACCTGAAAATGAAGTTATGGAAACAGATAAAAAGTCTAGGTATGCAACAGTTTCAATGATAAAAGGATTGTTGCTCATTTTCTTTCTTAACTGCCTTGCGAATATCTTAGCAAATGAAGATAGGGATGTCCTTATTATGAATCAATAATGTTGCCCCGTCACTTTTGTGCTGGAGCTTGAATGATGTAACACTTTTCTGTTTAGCAACACTGACGGGCAAATTTTCTGGAAATGATTAGATCGGGCTTGTGTAAATATCATGGTTCATCATATAGATGTCATGTGCAGTATTTTTCTTGAAAATTTAAAATTTTCTGGGACGTATCAGTGTCCTGCAAATGGAGATCTTGCCTAGTGGAGAAAATATATTTTTGCTTGAACTTCTATTTTATTTATTTATTTGTGATAGCAAATGACTATAGGGATGCCCTCATTATGAATCAATAATGGTTGTCCTGTCACTTCTGTGCTGGAGCTTGAATGATGACTTTTGTGTTTAGCAACACTGAGGGGTAAATTTTCTGGAAATAATTAGATCGGCTTTTGTAAATACCATGGTTCATTATATAGATGCTATGTACCGTATTTTTCTTGAAAATTTAAAATTTTCTGGGAGGCATCAGTGTCCTGCAAACAGAGATCTTGCCTAGAGGAGATAATTTTTTTGCTTGAACTTCTATTTTGTTTATTTATTTATTTGTGACACGCCTGCCAGGTCTGGGTAAATTTTTTTTGGAAATGATCAGATCGGGCTTGTGTAAATACATGGTTCATTGTATAGATGTTTATGTGTAGTGTTTTTCTTGAAAATTTAAAATTTTCTGGGTGGCATCAGTGTCCTGGGAACAGAGATCTTGCCTAGAGGAAGGAAGAATTTGTTGCTTGAACTTTTGAATTTTTTTTTTGGGGGATGGCCAGGTATAAAGTGATATGTGCTTCTGAATGAAATGTGTTAGTTAAATCTGCAATACGGGTTGAATGATGGCAAAGAGTACATTAGTGATATGAGCTTCTGAATGAAATGTGTTAGTTAAATTAGTTAGTCATAAAATATTCAGTAACCCTTTCTAATGTTTTTTAAAGTATTCAGTTGAGTGACAGCATTTTAGGAAAACATACTAATTAGTCTGAATATTGTACTACTATAATAGGATAGATTTGTTATTATCCTGTGTTTTTAAATGGTCACTCACTGTGATGGAGTGGAGATTTTAATACATAAAACGATTTGAGGAATAAATATCTTCCTCATTGGATTGTTTGGATAAGACAATTTCACACGTCTTACCTTCAAAGAGAAGGTCAAAGTTCCCTCATGATCAAGGATATGAGGCATCCCTAGAAATGGTAGAACAATATGAGAGGACCTTGGGTGCTTATTAGTTTTATTTAATTTAATGTAGCAGAATTTGATTATGGATGCTGATATGGTTTGGTTTGCGAGATATAACAGAGGTGTCAGCGAATCAATTCGGGTTTATGCCTGGTAGGTCAACAATGGAAGCGACCTATCTTTTGAGGAGAGTAATAGAAAAATATAGAGAAAAGAAAAGAGATATTCATATGATTTTTATCGATCTTGAGAAAGCATATGATAAAGTGTCTCGGGATATCATTTGGTGGGTGTTAGAGAAGAAATGTGTGACAAAAGGTTACATTGATGTGATTAGGGATATGTATGAAGGTGCAGTGACTACTATTGAATCGCCTGTTGGAGAGACGAGTGAATTTTCACTTACTGTAGGGTTACATTAAGGATCAAACCTTAATTCCTTATCTTTTCGCTTTAGTTATGGATGAGTTGATGTGCAATAGTCAAGATGATGTGCCATAGTATATCTTTTTTGTAGATGATATCGTGTTAGTGGATGAGACTAGAGAAGGAGTTAACACTAAGTTGGAGATTTGGAGAAAAGCACTTGAATCTAAAGGATTTAGGATAAACAGAATTAAGATAGTATATGGAGTGTAATTTTTGCAACAGTCACAATGGAAGCAGAGGAGAAGTGAAGATTAAGAATCAAGAACTACTTAAGAACAAAATTTTTTATTATTTAGGATTGATTATCACAATGATTGGAGCGGATGTGGTCTACAAAATTAAGGCGGGGTGGCTTAAGTGGAGGAGTGCGTCTAGAGTACTGTGCGATAAACGAGTACCCATTAGACTAAAATGGAAGTTCTATAGAATGGTTATTAGACAATATTGGGCAACTACGAAACAACATGTAGATAAGATGAGTGTTGTTGAGATGAGGATGCTAAGATGGGTGCGTGACAAGACTAGAAAAGACAGAGTTATGAATGAGTATTTGAGAATGGGTCAAAGTAGTACCTACCAATAGAAGATAAGTTGAGAGATACTAGATTGAGATGGTTTGGTCATATACAATGGAGACCAAGCAGTAGTGAAGAGAAGCGATACAGTGAAGAGAAGCGATACAGTGACGGTAGATGATAGTGTTAGGGAAAAGGCAGTAGTAAAGAGATGCGATATAGTGACGGTAGATGGTAGTGTTAGGCGAAGGGGTAAACTTAGATTGACGTGGACTATTGTAGTAAATAGAGATATGAATCTTCTTAATTTGACTAATGAAATAGTCTTGGATAGAGTCGAGTGGAGAAGAATGATTCATGCAGCCGACCCCATGTGATGGGACTTAAGGCTTGGTTTAGTTTGGTTTGGTTTATGCTGATATGGTTTGGTAGATTTTGATTTCCCGTTGAGTAGCCATTTATTTTGTGATGTTTTGTGGTACAATGCTAAGTTTGCGAATGTTTAGTTTGATCAATCAACTCTTGTTATTCTTTAATTTGGTCCTATGTGTTTGCATGTTCTACTTATTCTCATGTGCCTTTGCTTTCATTTTTCGGGAAAATTTCTCTTAAAATCTAGAGTGTATTACATTATAAAATTAAGCTAAAGTTCCCTCTCCATTATCAGGGATGTGAGGCATCCCTGGACTTGTGGTTGAATATGCGTGATGACCTTAGCACTTGCTTGAGATTATTTTGGTTTGATGGTTATTTGTTTATGTAGTTCTGTAACATGATTCCATTGTAGAGGCTGGTATTGGTTAAAGCACACTAATTTAATTTCTCCTTGAGTAGCCATATATACTTCTTGATATCTTGTGTTTCAATGCCAGGTTTGTGAATGTTTAGATTGTTTATTGCACTCTCATCATTCTTGACAGAAACTTATCTTAATCAATTCGTGCTAATGTCCGCAGGTCACCACCACCCACTACTCGTGCAAGGTCCAAGTCCAGATCAAGGTCCAAGTCAAAGTCTCCTGTCAGTTATCAGAGGAGGAGGAGGTCTCGTTCTTTCTCTCCTCGATCCCGTCATTCAAGATATTATAGGTCCAGATCACCATTGAGATCACGCCATTACTCCAGGTATGAAAATGAATGGCGGTCCTATAGGGACAGTAGGGATGATAGTGACAGAAGTAGAAGGCGGGATTCAGGAAGATCACATGATCATCATTCTTATGCTTCGAGGAGAAACAGGAGTCGGAGTGTGAGTCCTTTAACAAGAAAACCATATCAAGATGATTCTGACTCGCCAAAACATCGTCAAGAAAGTTCAAAGCGTAGGACAAAGAAGTCTTCTCGTGCTAGTTCGAGATCACCAGGACATCATAGAGGAAGCAGGTCACCCCCGATAAGTGATGATGACAGAAAATCAAAACCCAGAAAGCGCTCTAGGTCAAAATCTCTGGAAGTTAGGCATCACACAAACGATAAAAAGGATGGAAACAGAGAAGAAAAGTCAAAACATCGTGACAGAAGGCGGTCCAGGTCAGTGTCAGCAGAAGGCAAGCGTCACGGAGGAAGAAGGTTGTCCCCAAAAGTTTTGGATGAAAACAAATCAAAACACAGAAGGCGTTCTAGGTCAAAATCTCCAGAAGATAAGCATCACTCCAGAGATAAAGTGGAGAGAGGCAGAGATGAGAAGTCAAAGGTTCGTGACAGAAGGCGGTCCAGGTCGATATCTGCAGAAGGTAAGCGCCACAAAGGAAGTAGGATGTCTCAAAGACATTCGGATGAACACAAGTCGAGACACAGAGGGCGCTCAAGGTCAAAATCTGCTGAAAATATGCTTTTTTCCGATGATAATGGAATAGACAAAACTAAAGATGAAAAGACAAAACATAATGATGAAAGACCTGCCAAATCTGATGATTCCTTTCAGGAACCTAACAAGAAGTCAAAGGGTTTGGTGAACTTGGACGATGATGGGACATCTGTCTCTTCTCCAGTAACTTACAAAAAAATCTTCTCTGTTATACACAATGACAACGTAGAAGGTGGAAGTGATGGGGATAAGCATGAAAGCTCTAGAGGGGAAGACAGTGATTATGAGAAGACTGAGACTGCCATACAGGATTAACATTTTACTGAAGAAATATGAACTGAACTGTGGAGATAGAATTGGATAAAGAGTTTCCATTTGTGGGTGATGGTGACAGGAGTTATTATGTCTATGATGGGAACTGGGTCCAATTTTAGAAGCATGTGGAAATTCGTCTTGAATATGTTATCCAAGATGGTTTCAGAGGATTGCAATCCTAGTTCCTGCAGAACGAGCAGTCCCTCAGAAGATTGGTTGATGTTTCTTTTGGTGCTCAGAATTTCCCTGCTGGGTTTTTTGGTTCATCATTGAATAATTTATTTTTTCTTTTTCTTTCTTTCTTTCTTTCTTTTTTTTTTCCTTTTTTTTTTTTTTTTTTGGTTTTTCCCGTCCTTCCTCCTTTCTTTTGCAGGTCCAGTTGGAACATATTGATTATAATGTCTGAGCTGATCTCGTATGGTCAAATGCTTTTGAGATGTCTGCTGCTCTCCTGTCTAGGATCAACTGTGCAATGTTTTTATCAAACTTCTTTAGCTGCTTGATGTATGTTGAACTATAATCTCTCACTAGTAGTGAATTTCTGGATTGAAGTGACTATATCATGATTAGTTTGAGACTGCATGTTATGTCATTAATCTAAGATATATAGATCTGTTGAAGTTGGGTATTTTTTTGATGTAGAATGTTCTTTATATGTAGGATAGGGATTTACATCATAAAATATTGCAGGGTTGTCTGATCTAAATAAGCTGAATCCGTATGTGTTATTTGGTGAAGATAAGCATACTTTTATGACTGAGCTTATGAAGCCATACTTTATGTTTGTTATATTTTATGAAAGTTCATCCCCTCAAGACATAAGGTCTGTATGTATGATTTTCCTTATTTCCTTCCACCGACGGAATATGTGGAGAAAGTGTAGTATTTTGTTAGGCTTTTCATTCTGATGTAGTTGATTATAGGCTCCATTATATTTACCCTTAATAGTTTGGTGGGCCTGTTACGTTCCAAACGCTGCAGGTTTTACATGCTGGTTTCTTTTGGCGCATTATCAGATCAATAGGGCATGGTTGTTTCTTTCTGATTTGTATATGAAGGTATGCAGTTGCAGATTTTGGTGATTTTATGACAGGCGCTTCTGCTGTCATGCTTTCTTGCCAGTTCTTGAATCTTTTAGGAGTGCTAAATGATCATTGTTTGGGATTAAAACATTTCATTAAGAAACTTAAGCTTGCTGATATCTATCAATATTTTTGTGCCTCACTACTTTCCTCATCTTTTTTTTTTTTTCTTTTTCTTTTTTTTTTTTCTTTTTCCCCCTTTGCTTTTTGATTGTTGTTCTCCTCCGGAAATTGTTTGGTTAGGGAAGCTTCTCTTAAGGCCGACTGCAACCAGCTGTTGTGTTGCCGAGATGAATATCATCACTATTACACCATGTTGAGTATGAGCGGATTGACTAAACTTAAAAAGTTGTCTTTTAACAGGTAATTCCCTTGTGAAATCTTTGTTTGGAGATTTCCATTTTTTGTTTCCCATGTATAGGTGTTGGAACTGACCATACTTCTTAAATACCAGATAATTCATCTGGCTTTCCTGCTTGTTCCGTGTACACTTAATGCTGTCTGCATAGAAACCATGTTGTTTAATCACTGTCACTTTACTGTTCATGTTTGGGGCCATAAATTTGTGGCATTGGTACTCCAATATCGTCTCATGTTTTCTTTTATCTCCATCAACACCAAAATCACCAATTATCATGGATCCCTATATTCTAATTATTATCATAATTTTTGCGTTGGTGGTGTTTCTTTTGGTTGAGGACTTCTGGCATGGACATAATAGTTTTTCATTTCGAACAAAGAACAGTGCATATCACATTGGCAAATTTGTCTTTGATGCATATTTCTGAAGTCTTGGTGATTCCATTGGTAACATTGATTAGAGGAACCACGAAGAAAAAGTTTCTGTTAAAACACAGTTTTACCTTATTATTAGGTTTTTCCGTCTTTATTCATGTATTACTTGATTTGATCAGTATCTAAAACCAATATTTTTAATGTTTGCGCTCTCTCTCTCTCTCTCTCTTATTTTTATTTTTCATTTCTGCCCCATTTCCCCCTTGCTGTTTCTTTGCTGCTGCTTGTTAAGGTGTGCTGTGATATGGTGGATTGAGAGCTGATATTGTGGTTCCCGACATGGGTTAATGCATACAGCAAAAAGTGGATGTCACTCCCATTTTGTTTTTGTTTTTTTCCCCTTTTTTTCCCCTTTTTTTCTTTTGGTTTTCTTTTTTCTCTCTTTTCCTTTTGTTTCTTTTTCTGTTCCTCTACTCCCCCACCTTTTCTTTAGGTTTTCTGTACAAAGAATAGACAAGGGAAACAGACACCAATCTGACTGATAGATTTGAAAGTCACAGGCAAGAATTGCTTTCTTTCACATGATCTGATGTAGTTGCTTGAACTATTGGTTGTTTTGTGGTGATCTTCTCAAATACCTTTGATTGTGAGGTCAGAAGATACTTTTAGTAATGGTAAGATGTTTGGTGTAATTTGTCGAATTTCACATCTATCAAATTCATCATTGAATAATTTATTTTTTCTTTTTCTTTCTTTCTTTCTTTCTTTTTTTTTTCCTTTTTTTTTTTTTTTTTTTGAGTTTGTTCTGTTGCATTGGGTATAAATTGACACGAGTGATCTAGAAATTATAGGTTAGAAATTAGAAATCAATGTTGTGTAGGATTCAAAAATTGGGCATGACTTTGAAATGTTATTGAGTTAATTCGATGACTTGAAATGTCTTTCGAGTTTTTTTAGTTATGGGAAACAGTCAAACTTTATGCAAAGCTTTTCTTTTTGTGTTTTAAGGTGTGAAACTAGGATGAAATGAAAAAGGTAGTGAGAATAGTTAGTGCAACTCATGTTGCATCCTAATTTCTTTTTGTTCTCTCTTTTTAGTCAGTGATGCTTTTTGAAATCTTTGAATCTTATAATCTTTTAGTCTATGATGTGGAATGATATATTTGATTGATTTAATTTAATTTAATTTTTGTTGGGAAGCCATTGAAATAGTTTCAAAAACCTAAAAATGTATCCATTTTTTCTTTTTGAAATCATGATGGATAATTTCATCAATAACATTGCATGTCCTTCAAGAAACTTAATTTTGTGGAATATATATATATATATATATTTTTAAATTGTGAGTTGATCAAGTCTGCTCAAGATCTCAAAGTACAATATGGAGTCCTAATTTAGTTAATTGTTCTTTTATCAAGTTAATTTTTAATTGGACTCTGTTTTTGGTTGTTTATGTTTCTTGTTATCTGCATGTTTTTGCTCTAGTCTCTATAACATTGTGGGAAATTTTTTAAGTTTCAAAATTCATTGCTTGAAATGAAATGCTTTTCCTTGAAGCTTTGTGTTGTTTTGTGTGGTTTTCTGGATATAAGTTGCTAGAAAATATAGCACCTTGTTTGATCATTCGATGATGCATGGGCATATATCACTCTTTTCTAACATGTCTGAACTAAGAGCATCTCCATCTCTTTCCTTACAGTATCTCCTTATTCAAAATAAGGAGTTTTTCTGTCAAAACATATCTTCAGCAGTTTACTTATCCAACTCTCTAAAATAAGTATTGCTACATTAACTCTTTTGTAGGGAGTCACTGTAGTTCCTTTATATCTGATAAATTTTTATTTTATTTCGTTGAAAGCGTGAAGGATGTCCCCCCGGACATCCCTCCGGATGTCCCGTGAGAGTCCTGGAGCAAAAGAAAGAAAATGTCTAAAATTAACTTGACCGGTCGATCGGCCGGTCGACCACCCCTGTTTGCTTTCTCGTGTTGCTTCCTGCTATGATGCTACATGTTGTGCTGTTGCTTTTGTTTTTATTATTTTATTATTAAAAAGATATTTAAATTTAAAAATAATTAAAAATATTGTTTTAATATAATAGAGAAAGAATAGGGAGTTTGTTAGGAGAAAGTAGATGACAAAGTAATTTTCAAAATAGGGAATTTTTTAATAATATTTTAGAGTAAAATCTAGGTAGCCTGATAAGGATGCTATAATATTCTTTTCTAAGGAGTGATATGTACCATTTGTTCGGTGATATGTTTGTTTGGTACTAGCTTTCTGAATTAGGTGAAACAATTTCAACCTCTAATTTGTGTCCCTTTGGTAGTCAATCTCTCTTTGTTGCAGTCTATGGTTGTAGGACATGGGTGATGCGGTTGCGATGGTCAGGGTTGTGACGGTTGACATCATGACGGTGAGAGTGTCAGTGGGAGAGAATGAGGTAATGTTTGTATTGGTGATGGGGTTGTCGAAAAAGTGAAAGGGTAATATTGTGGGAAGAGAGATTGCTGGAGGTAGAGAAAAGAGGGTGTCGCTGGAAGTTGTCGGAGGAAGTGGAGGTTGGGATGGGGGTGAGATTAGGGGTAGAGTTTGGAAAAATAATGGGGTGAGATTAGGGTTAGAGTTTGGAAAAATAAAAAAGGGGATAAAATTACAAATTGATGTTAGGACAATATTACATTAAAAAAAAAGATAAATTACATTAGCAGTCTTTATAGTTTGGGACTTGTGTCATTTTAGTCTCCGATTTTTTAATTGTAACATATTTGATCTTGAATTTTAAATCTTGTTTCAAATAAGGACAATTGAAGACGCCATTATTTAATTTCAAGGGTAAAATTATCAATTTAATAAAATATAAACTAATTTGACAAAAATAAATGTTTAAAAATATTTTTAATTTTTTAAAAATTATTTCTATACACTAAAGATAAAATTATGTAAAATTGATCAAAATCAATAAAAATTACATGATTAATTTTTAAAAATTAATTTTACATAATCATTATCTAAACACAATAAAAATTAATTTGGTAAAAAAAATAAATAAATGTTTAAAAAATTTATCAATTTTACATAATTTTATCTTTAGTGGATAGAAATAATTTTTAAAAATTTAAATTTTTTTTGACATTTATTTTTGTCAAATTAGTTTATATTTTATCAAATTGACGATTTTACCTTTAAAAAATTTAATGATATCTTTAATTGTCTTTAATTGAAACAAGATTCAAAATTTGAGGTCAAATGTGTCACAATTGAAAAATTAGGAACTAAAATGGCACAAGTCCTAAATTATAGGAACTATTAGTGTAATTTATCCTTAAAAAAAGTGCGGGGAGTTCAAAGTACAAAGGTAGGAGCATTTAGTAACACAACAAATTATTTTTCCTCCTATTGTATATAGTCCAATTTTTAGAAATTTCATTGTTAAAAATGGTTGTTCTAGTATAATCTTTGAAAGTGAAAGTCAAATTTAGACGAATCAAACTGTGGTTATGATAGTAAATTGTTGATTTTTTTTGTTTTGTTTTGTTGAGAACAGTTGAATTTCTTATATTGTCCAAGGTTTATTGTTATTTTTATTTTTATTTTTGGGGAATGTCCAAGTTTCTTTAATTTACACTATGATACATGTATTTCGTAGATTCAGAGGAGACGACCACTTAATTTTCTAAAAAACTTAATGGTGGCGACCAATTTTGTAGAAAAATTATAAAAAAAATCGTATGGTTTTATTTTTATAACAAAATAAATCTTGAAAATAAATGATTTTAGATTAAAAATAAATCAAAAGATTATGATTTAAATCGATAAAATTAAAAATTTATGTTTTATTTTATTTTAAGGGTCAAATTTTAGATTTTTTAAGTTCTAAAAAAAGCTTGCGTAACATTTGATTCATAGATTTGGGTAGAGATTTGAAAAGAAAAAAAAAATGTGTGAAATATAATTATATTTTATTTATATTTAACTTTTTTTTTATTTTTAATTTATATTCAAATTTATAAATCAAACACAATCTTCCAAAATATTAATTTTTTTTTAATTTTTAATTTATATTCAAATTTATAAATCAAACACAATCTTTCGAAATAAATTTGGGTGGATGATGACACTGATGAGATTTGATCAGCACAAAGCACTGGACCATTGAGGTTTGTGGAATATGATGGTGGGGAAGGTATTTGGGTGTGGTGACAATCTCAATCACACCATTATTGATTTACTGATGTACTCTTCTAATATGATTGGTGATTATTAAAAATTATTAATATTAACAATTTTATTTATTTATTTAGTTTTTGAAGATGGACAAATTTGTTATATCATGTTTTTAAGTTGGTGATATCACCTCTATTCATCTATCTCGTTAACAAGGCTCTTCAATGGAGGGAGGATGTATATTGTCAAGTAAACTAGAGGTTTGATTATAATACCTAAAACTTGAAAAGTATATCATTTATTATAAAATAATTTAAAAAAGAATTTATGTCATAACACACCAAAAAAAAAAAAAAGAAAAAAGAAAAAAAACAAGGAAGGTTTATGGAGCTTTCGAATTCCTATAGGGGTAATGACATGTATATAATTGTATATAAAATTCATATAATGTGTTGAATTGATATTTATACATTTTTCTTATTATTATGAGTTGTCTATTTTGTTTTTAATCGGTAAAAGTCAATTATTAGTTATTAAATTAATACATATGAGAGTTAGTCTCTCCACCCTTGCAAAACACCAATTAGTTGTTAGATTAGCACTTACGAAAATTAGTCTCCTATCCTTGCAAACCACCAAGTGCTTGCCACTTAATTCAACTCTCCCTACCTCTTTTTTGGAGAGAGTTTAACCCATCACTCCCCTTGAGACTAAACCCTTAAGAGAGTCATATTAACCAACCAGCACTACTCTATTATATTATTGGGTAAATTACACTTACACCCCCCTTGAGGTTTGGTTTGATCACATCCCACCCCTAACGTTATAGAAATTACATTCTCACGTCTCATTTCACAAACTCCCTACTTATATAAAAGGCAACAACCCTTGGTAAAAAAAAAAAGAGAAAATTACATTGAAAAAAAAAAGTAAAGTAAAGTAAAGGAAAAAAAAAAAAGAATAAAAAGGCAAAGCAAGAAAAGAGAGAGCGTATGAATTCAATATCTTTTTGACAGTAACGTTAATTCTATCTAAATAATTATAATGACAGGGGGGTTAGTGTAATTTTTCAAACGTTAGGAGGTGATATGTATTAAACCAAAATCTCAGAGGGTGTATTTGTAATTTACCCTAAATACACTCCTTGAGATTTATTTAAAATACAATTTGCCCATTGTGGTTCTTTAAATTACATCACACCCCTTGAAATTTCTAATTTCAAAATAAATGTCGCATTTTATTAATAAATCATTAAGTCAATTAATAGATTTTAATGATGTCAAAAATTTATTTCAATTAATAATTTAGGTAATTTTATCATTGTATAGGAGAACAGATAAGAATTTTATTTTTTCTGTTAATTCTGTTAAATATATTTTTTTGGCAAGGGGCAATTTGTAATTTTTTAAATCACAGGAGATAATTCATATTTTAACCAAACTTTAAAGATATATTTATAATTTACCATATCATTTATTTAAGTATGTCATGTTTTAAAGTTTAAAATTTGATAGCCATGCGTCACA